ACTCAACCTTGGTTCATGTGTGATCTCTTGGTGCTCAAAGAAGCAAGATACGGTGGCGCAATCTTCAACTGAAGCTGAGTATTTAGCAGGTGGTTTGACTACACAACAATCACTTTGGTTGAGAAGAATATTAGAAGACATTGGAGAGAAGTAAGAGAAGAGTCTACAACTTCATTGTGATAACAAATCAACTACTGCCATGACAAAGAATTCTGTTTTTCATAGTCGGACCAGACACATTAACATAAAGCATTACTTCATTTGAAGTGTGATTGAAGAAGGAGATGTGCAGTTAGCTTTTTGCAATTCACAAGAGCAGCTTGCAAACATTTTTACTATAGCACTACCAAGAGGAAGATTTCAACAACTTAGAGAAGCAATGAGAGTTAAAGAACAACACATTAAGGGGGAGTGCTACAATTAATGTTTTGTAATCACCACTATCTTTAGTAAGCATTATGAGAGAATTGAAATCACCACATTATAATTATTGTCTTTACTTAGAGATATGATAGAGTTGTGTAATTAAGACTGAGAGAACCAAAAAGTCCTCATATTGATTACCAACTTATTGTATTCTCTATAGTTTCCTTCATGCTTTTATAAAGATTTTGTAATGCTAAGTTGTAAGAAAAAAAAAAGAAGAGAAAATAGAGTGTGTGGTGAATTCAATAAAATTAGAGTATTTTAAAGTATCACTTTCACAAATAAAAATTCAATAAAAAAAATGACTGAAAAATAATTTCTTACTCTAAATTCTCCCTCGTTTATCACATTATTCCAGCTCCAGAATACGACCAATACACTTGATGATACCAATTAAAAAGTTCTTTACACTACAAATTCAACGCAACAGTGATCCTTTTCCCTTTATTTGCAAGTTACAATTCCATCATCATCGTGCAAAGATATGGTGGATTCTGTTCCATTCTTCATCTCTCTTCCTGAAGATATCAACTTCAAAATTGCTTCACTTCTTCAGGTTCCAATTTTACACTATATTTTCACTTTTGCCACCAATATCATCATGCTACAACTTTTATTTTTCTTGTTTAACGTTTTGTCAGGTGCGGGATTTGTGTGCTTTAGCTGCTGTTCAAAGTTCTGGAGACAAGTCTGTTTCTCTGATTCCATTTGGCATCGTCTTCTAACTAACAGATGGCCCTTACTCCATTCACCTCTCTCTCCCAATCTCAAGGTAGCCTATATTTATACCTCTTTGGATAGAAAGCTTAATTAAGTGCTTATATCATAATCGATTATCATATAGATGCTTATTATTAACTATTTCTGGAAGAAAAGATAAAATAAAGTCAACCAATTTTTATATAATCTATAAGTTTTTTTTTATAAACTATCCTATAAGAGTTTATGAGGAAAAAAAAGCTGAAAATCAAAAATAGCATCATGTTTGGAATTGAACAGTGATGTAGCTGTTATGTGGTAATTATTTTGAGTTTGGATTGTAGACATGGAGAAGATTGTATTTCGAGAGGCACATCGATTTGGGACTTAGAGCAGCGTCTGTTGAAAGGTTTCTGAAAGGCTGTTCGCGTAATGAATCACTTGAGGTTGACGACTATCTGCAAGCCATTGAAATTGTTAATGGTGCGAGGTTTGGTTTTGAAGACATCCAAAGGTTCCTGTTTAAACCTGGAATGAATGTGTTGGTTAACTTGGTTGGTGTGCATTATTGCATAACAAACCTTGGGATTCAGGTATTCCATCCCTTTTCAGACTTCGTTTGAAGTAATTGATTAGAGTGATATGTATTTCATATGCAAGTGTTTCTGTTTGCAGGGTGATGATCTTGTACAAGTCCTTCGAACTTGTGAGATCTCAGATCGGCATGTATGCATCAGGTGGTGGAAACTTGGTAGGTGGATCCATGGATACCGCGGTAGAGATGAGTCACTTTTTCGTTGGATTTCTTTGGAAGATTTGGTGACAGAAGAAGATGAGTCTGTTTTGAGAGTGGTTCGTCGAGGCACTGTTCTTGAGGTTTTACGTGTTCAGATCTCAGCTGTTGATCATAAATCAATACCTTGGTCCTATCAGGATAACCAGTGATTGGAAATGCTGCAGGGAAATAAATCAAATCAACTAAAAATGAACTATAAGTGTCAATATTTGTATAATTATAGTATGTGTCAATATCTATTACTATGTGTATAGTTATAGTTTATAAAAATGAACTAATTGTATTGTAAACATTTTATCCATGGTTATTTATTTAAAAAAGTGTCATATCCAATTGTTTCACTTGTTGTGGTTAATGCATTGTTTGTGTATGTAGAACACTTATTTTATGGTTTAAAATTTTCAAAACCAAATGAGGTGTGGCATTTGCATTCATTTCAAACAACTTTGCCTAAAATGGCAATTTTAAATGCAGGCTGGGAAAAACTGTCATAAGAACAGGTTAGAAATCAGAATGCTCTTGCAGAGGAGTAAATTTATCACATGGAACTTGGCATCATTTCTTTCTCTAACAAGATATGGTACAGGTTTTTAATCTGCGTCATGATTATTGATATTGCATAGAATGCTGTTAAATGTGGCTAATTTATCATCGGTATTAGTTATTTTAGAGTCACAGAGATCAACTTTTTTTTGATGTTGCTGTATAAAATCTGGTAAAATCTTTGTTGATATATGTGTTAAAACCTTAAAGAAAAAAAACTTATTTTGAAATTGAAGAAATCTGAAAGTTGAAGAAAAAACCAGTCTGGAAGTTGACAAAGATGGTGACGACGTGGGATGGTGGTGGCTGGAGATCCGGCAATGGTTGTTCATAGTGATCTGGCTGGTTCAGGTAGCGACGGAGCTCTGGCGAGCGGCAGGTGTGTTTGACAAAGGGTGATTCAAGTTCGGTAAGTATCAGATTCATCGTCCACACAGTTTTTGTGGAAATGGCGACTTTTGAATGATTCAAAAGCAATTTGGTATGAGCTTTTATCTTGTAGGTATGGCAATTTAAGGAGGGCTATTCTCGGTGATTCCCGTCATTCGGTGAGTACGAAAGCATCAGTGTGGTGAAAAGATTTGTGTACTGTGGAAGTTTTGTTGGATAATGTGAATTAGTTTCTTGATTCTTTTGCCTGCAAACCTAGGAATGGCGTCACTACTGATTTTTGGTTGGATAGGAGGCTTGGTGATCAACCATTGTGCAGGAAGTATTTTTCTATTTTTCTTATGGCGGATCCAGCCCAAAACAACATTGCGCAGAGCGGTTGCTGGTTGGAGGGAAGCTGGTGTTGGGCTGTGGCTTTGGTCAAGGGTCCGCTTCAGCAGGTGGAACTGCGGCAGGTGCAATTGGTTCAGCAGCAGGCTGACCGCGCCATTTGGAGGAGGAGCCCTGCTGGTTTCTCGGTCAAGCTGTGTTACACGGCGATTGTGGAGTGTTGCAACATTAGTTCTTCTTTTGACGGGGCTGTTTTGGATCTGATGCGGAGTTTGTGGCGGACGAAGGTCTCGAGTATGTTGTTGATTTTTAGTTGGAGATTAGTGCTGAACCGTCTCTCCACTGAGAGTTAATCTAGAACGCGTGGCGTGTTGAGTGGTTCTACGAGTCTGTTTTGTGGAGGGGCGAAGGAATGGTGGACACAAACTTTACATTGGTTATTTTGTGGAGGGGCGAAGGAATGGTGGACACAATCTTTACATTGGCTGCACATTGATTTATTTTTTGAATCGTTGAGTCCTATTATTTGGACCCAGGCGCTTAAGGTGGCAGTTAACTTAAAGCTTAAGATGGATTTTGAATGGTTATTTGACCTAGCTATTTGTTGGTCGATTTGGACTTCCAGAAATTCCGTTATTCTTGAAAGGGGTTCGTTGGCAAAATTTGACGGTTTGGGAATGATTAAGCGTTTGGTGTGGGATTGGCTTGTGATCGATAAATCCTTACTTTAGACGCTCTTTTGTGCTGAGTGGTGTGTCAGTTCTACTTTAAGGGTTTGGGGTTATAGACCATGCGTTTCACCCTTTTTTTTGATTTTTTTGTTTTTTCAGTTGGTGCCGTTTTGTAGGTTGTAATTTGGTTGTGCACTTCTTGTTGCGGTTTTTAATCCAATTAGCTTATAAAAAAAAGTTTTTGTGTATCAAGTTTGGTTGTCTTTGTATGGAATTAGTTAGTTAATGGGTTGTGTTTTTGACTAGTTAGGTAGATTTTTAGTAGTTATAAATAAACATTTCTATTATTGTTGTCTTCTTAGATTTAAAATTTTGAATGTAAAATATCTCAGGGTTTGAGAATTTTAATGGTAATTTTCAAAGAGAAAAGAATAAATTTTTAAAATATATTCTTAGAATTTGGAAAAATCTTGAAGATATTAAAAGAGATTAAAAAACACTTTTAAATACAAGTGATTCTTATAGAATGAGTTTAAGAGATTAAAAAGAAAAGTTTATTCTTCTGTAATTTAAGTAACTATTTTATTATAACTCATTTGTAATATTTTATAATAATATTTTTATAATAATTTTTAGAAGTAAGTGAATGGGAGAAATGTTTTCTCCTTATAGGAGATTGTGTAGTTGCTATATTTTATTTCTTCTACCAAATTAAATAGTTTTTATTTATTTATTTAGAGTTATTTTTCTTCAAAGTCATTTATAATGATTGTCGTTATTTTTTTTTTTTTGGTTGCAAATTGCAATTCAACCTTTTAATTTCCCAATACCAGTTGTAGTTTACACTGTAGTTGGTTGGTTTGCACAATTACAATCCAAATCATTGATCATTTGAACATTTTCTTAACTAATTTCTTATTCTATTAAATTTTGGTGGGATCAAAATAACCAAAAATAATTTGACATTAATTAACAAATGTAAAATACAACTGTACTCCTTGGTAGAAAACACACATTTACAAAAAACAATGATCAATGATCAATTCAACACAAAACAAACATACAAATCAATTACACATTAACAAGTTACACAGCACACTAACTAATTACTTCATAAACAAAACGATCCACAACACTCTTTGAATCTACTTAGGAACTCTGCTATGAATGCTGTAAGCTGAAATCCAAATGAGCAAAAGTGTAACAATGCTACCAATAAATCCCATTGCAATAGATGCACCAACATGCCTACAGAACTTGTCGTATATGTTACAGATTTTATTCCAGTTAGTATGTTTGTTTCCCTTCAAACCCAAATACCCCATACTTCCCGCCGTGCCTGTTGCCGAGGCCAATATCCCGAACATCACCTGCAACAGAATCATTGATATTGTCAAAAGATGAACAAAAGCAAAAGGTAAAAAAATTTTAAAAGGTTAATCAATCGATTAATTACCGCGTCCCAGAAGATTAACTGGAGAAGAAGTTTGGTTTTGAGGCTCGGCTTTCGGATTGCGGAGAGTGATACAAGTGTTGTAATAATACTGTAAAGTCCAGAAACAGAAAATGCAGCCACAAAATACCTGTGTGGATTCACAAATATATTTAGAAAATTTTACATTTATAAGAAAAATATACAATTACACAACTTACACAAAAGCTGGTGAGTATCTGAACTTGGCTGGTAATGGCAGAGGGAGATATTCAGTTTGATTACTAGTAACCATCACTAAAACTGCTGCTAATGATGCTGCAAACAACAAAAACCTTAGGATCAAATCAAACTTGAAGAAATCGACACCACGGGAAGCCGAAGCCGGAACCGGAGTTGAAGATGATTTGTACTCAGGATCACCGGTAGAAGCCATGTCTTAATAATTGGTTATATGAGTTTGGTTTCAATATATGAGATATATTTATAGAATTGGTGGCTATGTAATAGCTTAGGATAAGGATAGTTGAACAATGAACAAGGTTACAAATATATATAGATCGATATTGACTTGTAGGGTATCCTGAAAAAACAAGAAAGGTATATAAACATGCAATTTAATTAAGTAGGAGTTTTCTAGACGCTAGAGTTGATTTTGATTTTTGAAGTTTGAATGAAATTGCGTTAGTTGACGTGTGTGTATGTATGTTAGAATATATATAGTTTACTTTATTTCAAAGGTTCACACATGTGAAATTTTTGGGTTGTTGTGATCTTGTTGAATATGGATTTGCATGGATGACATGGGGTCATAGTCATATGAAGATAAAATTATTTAGGTAACGTCCATTATTTACCTTTTGATATGTTTATTAAAGTTAAATTATATATCATTGGAGTGTTTTTATAGCTTTGTTCCTAACTTATTGGTGGAAAATATGATTAAAAATTGTCTTATATGCAATTGATGTAAAAGAACATACAGAGGAGAATCTAATTTTGCACTTGAAAATGTAGGAGTATATCAACTTTGTTCTATATTTTCAAATTTGTAAAATGATTTTTGAGACTGTTATTCAAATTCATTTATTAAATATTCTTTACGAACTATTATAATGATATAAAATGTTGGGGTAGCTTAACACACAGCTCAAGGAGTATAAAGAGGAATGGATGAATTTAAAATGAATTTTTGAATGAAATTAGGTGAAATAATGTATTTATTAGATATTATGCGAAAATAGCTGAACTACAAATAGAGAGTTAATTGATAATTATTAATTAAAATATTTAAATTAATATTTTAATATATTAATTTAGATTAATTATTATAATGTTTTAGAAATTTTTTAAGTCTTTGTGATTGTGTCATTTTGACGGTTGTAATATGTTTAGAGTAATATTTAAAGTATAGCGTTTTATTTATATTGAAATCAATCAAATAAAATGAATATTTTATTTTATCCTTTTTATCTTCTATCTATTTTTGGTTTAAAATTTTATAGCATTTCCATTGTTTGTTAGGGTTCTTGTTCTAATACTCTAACCAATTATTTTCTTAATTTTTATCTTCTAATCTTTTCATTCACATTGATCTTTTGAGATTTTTAAATCTTACTTTCTTCGATGGCTTAATTAAAGTATCGATAAATAGTAGCTCAATCTTGCAATATTTAATTTAAACTTCTCTCTGCCAATTTGATCTCTTAAAAAATGTATGTTTGTTTCTACCATGGTCCATTGGATGGTTTATTAAATCAATTGTTTATTTGTTGTTAACTAACAATTTGATCTTCATACCTTCATTTAAATTCAACTCTTTCAATAACATTTCAATCCATAATATTTAGAATGCATAGGAAACAACAACATATTCCACTTCACATAATGATCACATAATGATAAGACCATTATTTATTGTTTCCTTGAATTCCATGAGATTGGAGCTTATTCAATCATGAATAAGTAACAAATTGTACTCTTTTTTCCATCTTGATTTTTACCCTAATCTGTGTTAGATTATCAATGAGCATTTGTCTTCATTCTTGCATTTTTTATATGGCATTAGTATGGGTGTTTGCGGTGCCATTTGAGTTGTTTTGACGCTAAAAATTATTTAAACAGCAAAAGAAAAAACACGCACTTCGATTAGCTTTTAGAAATAAAATCAAACCAAATCAAACCAATGCGATTTAGGTTGGTTCGGATGGTTTAGTTTTTTACAAGATTTGTATTGAGTCATACATACACCTATAGAGACCAACATAACTTTGTGTTTAGTCATTCATACAATATAAAATAACAATAAAACTCATCATATTTAGACAAAAACTTCTCATTCAATATACAAGAATCAGATTAGACAAAAGTGAACAAAATTAGTAGCATAAAACAATATCAAAAAAATTATAATAAAACAGAAAAAATAAAAGGAGATGAGAGATTAGAGAAGATGAAAAAGAAAGAACAGAAGAGATGCGAGATTAGAGAAAAAAGAAGCGATAAGAATGTGATTGGAAAAGAAAATAATAACATAAAAATGAGAAGATGAAAAAGAAAGAACATAAGAGAGACAGGGAGAGAGAGAGAGAGAGACACAGAGAGAGAGATATTAGAGTAGAAGAGGCCGGACGTATGCAACACCCTTATTCTACCCCACAGATATTACGGCAAAATAACATAGATTTCAGAGTAAACTATTAACTTTCATTAAAAAGCCACAAAAGGGCGTACATTTCTCAAAGTCAACCAAATTGGTCAATACTCCGTAACACACGGGTTTTCTCAAAATACATCAAAACATCATATACATCGGAACTCAAAACAGAACTCAATGTTTTCCTCATAAGGGAACATCAGTAAAATAACCCAATGATATACAATCAATTCAAAGAACCCAACCTGATGTTACATATCAGAGCAAGACCCTCTAAATTAATCATAAAGGCTAACGACTCTAAAACTTCTAAATACTCCTCGACGGCGTCCACGACTAAACTTGCTCATCTGCACGTTACCCACGTGGAGGTAACATTCAAACATGCAGGGTGAGTAAGACAATTCATAATAATCAATGTATAACAATTAATGCATAAACGACATATTACTCATAATTACATTCAACACATTGATATCCTTCTAATACGCCTCAAAGGCCATAACGTCATAATTCATACACAAAGACTCATAGATGCAATGCGACACAACTCAATGCATGTGGTACCAATCATCACAGCGCGATGGACACTAGACCATCAACCCTCCATAGATCCCCATCAATAGGATCGGAGCACATCAACATACTTCACATCCACACAGTGGGATTGAAGCCAAAGTAATCGAGGTCCTAAACTGAAGTTCGGATGCACATGAATGCGTGATGCACACGTCATAATAAACCTCATAATAACAACATATGGTGCATCATCATTCATCATATTCATCATATTCGTCATCATCAAACGTCATAACTCATCATATTAATCATCATATAACATATCATCATAATTCATCATATTACTCATCATACAACATATCATCATAATCCATCATATTAATCATCATACAACATATCATCATAATTCATCATATTAATTAATCTCACACATCATGTCATCAGATAATCACGTATAAATCACATATTAGCTCATAGTCATATTATCCCATATTAATTCATAATACTACCCCCATATCATCTCATATTAATTTATCAAGTTATACTCACGGTAATCCTCACACTATCGCCTATCAATCACATAAACTTCACAGTTCTACTCATGTTAATTCGTCATATCATCACATAGTATTCACATATTAATCCCTAATGTCATCTCACATTGCCTCATATTAATTCATCATAATTACACTCGCGGTAATTCTCATACTATCACTTATTACTCACGCAACCTCACTGTCATACTCATAGTAACTCATCACAGGAATCCCAAAATCAAACATCACGACATCGCTGCACACGATCAATATTTGCGAACTCTGCTACGTTTGCTGGCTCGCTCGCTAGGCGAGTTGGTAGCGAGCCTTCACTGGCTTGCTCGCTAGGAGAGCCTCTAGCGAATCCTCACTGGCTTGCTCGCTAGGCGAGTCTTGTAGCGAACCTTCGCTGGCTTGCTCGCTAGGCGAACAGTGCGATGACAGCAAAACCTGCTATGCACCAGAACTGATTTCTACCCAAAAACTCATACGATTCACATACCCAATGCCCCCAAAACATCATTAAAACATCCCCAATGTCATACGGAGATAACGACACCAAATCTATGGTTCATTCGGCCAATCCGACAACATTTGCACTGCCTAAAATACTATTTTCCTGCAATTACTCTGAGTGCATCAGAGTTACTCACATTTGAATATTTCTATTCCTACAGGGTCAAACATATCAAATCCAAGGTTTTGGCCACGAAGGCCTAAGGTTTCCAAATTCATGTTACACATCAAACAGTCCGATAAGGTTCCCTAAATTCATGTCAATATTTAGGGATACATGCCATCAATCATAACCTCAAAGTTATTCATCAATTTCCCTAATTCTCCCAAATCAACCCAACATACCCTAAGTTATAAACCCCACTGTAAACACACCGAAAGGCATACATAGAAAATCATGAAATGTGATATTTCCCATACCTTAGTCGATTCGCAACTTTCACGATTAACTCCAGCAATCTTCCGAAGCTTTTGCCTCCACTGATCCCTCCTCAGAGCTCTGGCCTCCATTCTTTTCATGGTTAACAAAATGAATCCCAAACCTTCAGAATTCTATTTTGTCAAACTTAGACTTGGGCCACACAATTGGGCTTTTCCCATAACATCCTTACTAACTCTTTATAATGCCCAATTTACCCTTATTTCACTTATATTCATTTTAATCAATAATAATACTAATATTCTCATATAGTATACTATTAATTAAATAAATAGTCCAAAAATGCACATTTTCTCAATAATCCACAAACCACCGAAAACCACCCCAAATACGAATATTCTCAATTAAATAATTAATTAAAATATTCCGCTTAACTTTAGGGTGTTACAACGTACATGACAAAGAAGATGAGAAGAATGCGCGACATTACTAGGAGAGATTTGAAAAGGTTGAAACTAAAACTCTAAGTGTGAGTAAGAGAAATCCGTCCGTAATTGTAAGGTTAAGGCATAATATGTTTGAGTTTTTGGTTGGATGTGGGATAAGTGAAGTTTGGATTGTAACATAATGCTAGTTGGTTTGGTTTAATTAGGTTTTCAAAATACAAACCGCAAACCAAAATGAACCACCGATTTTGCTAACAAATAGCCCAAACACATCCGAACCAAATGTGTGTTTTTTTTGCGGTTTTAGTTTAGTTTGGTTTAGTTTGAAGTTTTCTATTGGGTTGAATCAGTTTTGAACACCCTAGAAATTAGTATACTATGATC